GAACCCACAGGATTGAGGGGATTCCCGGGGGGGGGGCATGGGGGAGGAGGGGCAGGCAGTGCTGCAGGGGTGGGGGGCAGGCCGCCCGGGTGGGGGGCAGCAGGGGGGAAGGGCACAGGACCTCTGGGGTGGGGGCAGGGCCGGCTCCAGGCACCTGGAGAGGGGCGGCACGTCCAGCTATTCGGCGGCAATTCGGCGGACGGTCCCTCACACCCGCTCGGCGCGGAGGACATCCCCCCAAATTGCCGCCGCAGATCGCGCTCGCGGCTTTATTTTTTTGTCTGCTTGGAGCGGCCAAAACCCTGGAGCCGGCCCTGAGTGAGGGAGAGAAGAGTGGGCAGGGGGTGGAGGGGGAGAAGGGGGGCAGGAGGGGGAAGGGCCGGGGGGGGGGAGTCACAGGGTCTGGCCTATGCCCCAGCTTGCAACCGGCCTCTTGGGCGCGACCCCTGACTGGGCCAGGCCCCAGGGACCCCCAGGGCTGGGCAGAGGGCCGTGGGCTCCAGGACTGGGCCGCCACCAACAGCCCCCCCCCTCTTCCCCCTGAGGGTCCCTGCCGGAGTCCGGCCCAGCCAGACCCTGCAGGCGCAAGGCCCCTGGGGCAGTGGCAGTGACCCCAGCCCCTGTGCAGAGCCTGGGGCCCCACTCAGCCCCCGGCTGCAGGCCCGGGGCCTGGGGACGGCCCAGAGAGGCAGCCGTTAGCCATGGCCCAGCCAGGCCGGCGCTGTGATGAGCCAGCCCAGCCGTGATCACGTCCATGGCTGGCTCCCCGGCCCCTCTCTCGGGGGTGTCCTGCTGCCGGGGGGGGGTCAATCCTCAGGGTGGCACTTTGTCTGCCTGGACCAGCCCATTCGCCACAGACTCCCGCCGCCTGCGCGGCTCTAGCAGGGGACTGAGCCCTTTTTCCAGTCCGGAGGGAAACTGAGGCACGGGTAGAGTGACCAGATGTTCCGATTTTATAGGGACAGTCCCAATTTTTGGGTCTTTTTCTTATATAGGCTCCTATTACCCCCCACCCCCGTCCCGATTTTTCACACTTGCTGTCTGGTCACCCTGGGCACGGGCAGGATTCATAAAACTATTACAGAAAATTCTCACTTTTTCAGGGGGGGAAGCCAGGGGGAGGCCTGGCTACTTGCCCCTCTGTGGCCCAGACGGGTGCATTCATATGCCTGATATTGCCCCCCCAGTGCTGAGGGGAGAGGCCAGGGAGCTTGGGGAGCACCGGGGCAGTTCAGGGATGGGAGGGGGAGGGGGCAGGGCTCCGTTGCTCTGTGGGTTTCTTACCCAACATCCTCTCCCTGTTCAGGCCTCTTAGGCAACCGCCCCGCCCCCCCCACTCCCCCCAGACCCCATCCCACCCAGCCTGGCTGCCTCACGCAGCACCAGCAACATTCGCACAACACACAGGACCATGGGGGGACTCTCCGGCACCAACCCCTGCCCCCCGTGGGGCACCACCTGGATGGGCCGAATCCTGGCAGGTGAGGGCAGGAGGGAGCCCAGGGTTGGGCTGGCAGGGGCTGCAGGTGGGGAGTGAGGGGCACCATCAGAGCTGGGGGGGTGGGGCAGGACTGGGCTGGCAGGG